AGAAGCGCGAGCTCATAGCGTTGGCAGCTGCTCTTAACGCACGAGAGCTTGTGCCGCTGAGGTGTGCCCCAGAGCAAGGAGCTCGCGCTTGTAGCCTTTCCTGCGGTACATCATAAGGTGAAACAGAGTATACAGAACAACATTATTAGCGGTTGTTTCGCACCGCGAAAAGCTCCAGTCAAACCACAGTAGTAAGCGCCGAAGAGCGCTGATGAAGGGGCTGACGGGGGCGCGCTCCTAGGATGGATGGATGGATGAATACGGCTGAGCCCTTTGGATCGAGCGGTAGCTTACGCCACGTAGCCATTTTGTTTTACCATTTAAGCTTAGAATATTTAAATGTGAAATCTATATTCACTCCGCAGTGCAAAGTAAGTGAGGCTATGAAGCCCCCTTGCCATCAGTGAAAAAGAAAATACCTAGTTTTCTCTCGATTTCTGCCACCATTCACTTAATCTTTGCTTGGTAATCTCTACAGTCTTGAAATCCACTGTCCCTTCGCTCTCTCTAAAACCCAATGACTTTATTAAATCTATGTTGTCTTCGGTAGGTATAGGGTGAAGCCCTTTACAGTAGAGTATCAAGTGCTCAGCCGTCTCGTCCTCCTCTCCACAAGCAGTGCACACTATATCCATTTCCTGGTACTTCACTCTGTATGTTCTGGTTCGCAGAACACCCGTCCTTGCCTCAAACAGCAATGAGCTTCCCCTAGAATTGTCATAAATGCTTTCTTTGGCAATAACTGTTTTGTTTAATCTATAGCTTTCCAGAGCCGTCTTTGTCTGCATTCCCTCTAGCCACCGATCTCTTTCTGTGGCCTTAACTTTCGTCTTAACTGAGACTCGCTCTTCCGTATCTTCGCTATAGCCCAAAAACTTTCCTCTTAATTTCCTAGTGCGCTGTCTCCACTTTGTGTCTACACTCCTCATGTATAAATAGCTGAAAACCTTTCGTGCCCATTGCTCCCCATCCATTTGCCTCAACCTATCCTCAAATTCTATCTTGCTCACCGCTTCCCTGCTTTCAAATGACGCCCATCCCATGTCTCCTTGTACTCCCTGGTTTGGCGTTTGCAATGTGCCCCCAAAGCCAGTCTACCTACTCCGCGCTGTTTTATTTCTAGTCTCGCATGCACTTCGGATTTCATGCATGGCACTGCGTTTCCAAAAGTCAAGCCAGGCACCATGACCCCTTTCCAAATCTCTCTCACCACCTCATACCTGTTGTAATTCCAAAGTGCTCTATTTTTCATTACAGCTGCATTTCTGTTGCCTTTACCTATTATATACTTTCATGCTCTCTGAGATATTCTGCACCATCACATATCCATACTCCTAGATACTTGTATTTACTAGCTCTCTCAACTGTAATATTCTGTATCTTCAGCCTCTCAACTTCATCCTCGTTAAAAATCATGACTGCTGATTTTTCGCTACTGAATTCTAAACCTAATTCCTCTCCTTCGCTACCACAGATGCTCATTAATTCCTGCAACACTGTCCTGTTGTTAGCCATTAGTACGATATCATCCGCATACATCAATCCCGGTAAGGATTGCTGAATTGTTTGGCCTAGCTTACAGTAAGAAAGGTCGAATCCAAGCCCACTCTTCTCTAGCCTATCCTCCAATCCTCTCAGATACAACATAAACAGCAAAGGCGATAACGGGCACCCCTGCCTAAGGCCTCGTCTTATCTCTATTTTCCCTGCCGCCTTTCCTTCCCATGTTATAATCACCTTGTTATCTTTGTAAATGTTCCTTAATAGTGCTGTTAGTCCTTCATCTAGGTTTAAGCTCTCCATTATGTCCCACAGATTCCTTTGGTTCACATTGTCATAGGCATTCTTGATATCCAGAAATGCCAGTCAGAGCTGTCTGTTTTCTTTTTGCGCTATTTCTATACACTGTGTTAGAGAAAATAAATTGTCCTCCAACCTTTTTTGTTTCCGAAACCCGTTCTGTAACTTGCCCAGTATGCCCTCGCAATCTACCCATTCCTCCAGTCTGTTCTTTATAATCTGCATTACCAACCTGTAAATAACCGCGGTGTACCGGTTATGGGACGATATTCCTTATATCAGACTTATCTCCCTTTCCCTTATATATCATACTCATCCTACTAAGTCTCCATTCATCTGGAATATTTCCTTTTGTTATCATGGTACTCACTACCTCCCTTAGTTTTGCCTTAGATTTAGGACCCAAATTCTTCACCAGCTTGATTGGGATACCATCTGTGCCTGTCGACGTGCCACTAGGGACTCTCCGTTCCGCCTTTTCCCATTCTCTTTGTCCAAAATCCGCGATGTCACAAGCTGGACTGCTACTTCCTTCGGTTCTCCTATCTTCCACATGTACCCGTTCCCGAAATTTCTCCTCCATCACTGCTCCTATATATTGTATCGCATCATCTCCCTCTAATTGATCTCCCTGATGCGAGAGTATGAACCTCTGTCTAGCTTGCGCCGTTTCACCGAGTGAGTTCAAGTGCTCCCAAAACCTCTTGGCAGCGTTTCTATCTTTCTTACTTGCATCACTCATCCATTCCTCACCCTTTCTCTGAATTTTCGCATTGATCAAACTGGATGCCTCTCGGCGACATGTTATAAAATTGTCCCATTTTCTTTTTACTTCCGTTTCGGACTCCCCACTACGCTTGGAATACCTGTGTTCTCTAGAGGCTTCCTGACGTTTTTGTATCGCTTGCTTCACTTCTTTGTCCCACCAGCTTTTTGGTCTATGTCCTTGCTTCCCCTTTCGTTTACTCTGAACTTTGTCTAGTTCTAGAGCAAAAAGCCTAGTTCGGCTCTCATAGGTCCAATCTGTATACCGTTGCCCTGAAACTGCTGCCTCTATTCTTTCAACAACTATTTCCAACTCTTTGTCGCTGCAGAAAGTTTTCTTTGAATTATGTTGTCTAGTTTCAGCATTTACTTCTCTGGCACAGAACAGCAGCGCCATGGTGTCGTCTACGCGCAAAATCTTCACAAAGCGGATGCCGCTCTTGCCAGTACAACCCCCTCTAGAACACTGTAATAGACCGATCTCACCAGCCAGTTTGACTACGCCACCGCTGCCGCAATGCATCGAGGGAACTTTAGTACTTTTGCACGCGCAACAACCTTGCTGGAGCTCTGCGCGTGTGGAGCAGGAGACGGCACGAGCTCTCGCATGCACGGCCGTCTGCCTCCCGTGAACTAAAGTTATGGTGGTGGCGTCACGCATGCGCCGGACGTTTGGTGAAATCGGTCTATTCGGGTTATCTCTCCCGGCGGCTAAAATTCCAGCAAGAGAGATTTTTCGATCACATGACCAGCTCAGAGGGCAGGAAGTACCTAGCGTTCCAAGCGATTCCGTTCAGCAGACGTAAGCCTTACCCGCTGCATACTTTAATTCTCGCTTAACGCGATCCTCCCCAGAAACAACTTTACATTCCGCTTCTAAAGTAGACAAATTCAATTCTTTTCCATTGAAATTCAAGCCTGCACACCCTTTGTCGGTGCGCAAAAGCGAACTTGGATATTCAAAGCGAGGACAGAATTACGGCAGCCATTTGCCTGTCTCGGCGCCTACTATTTTGTGTTGCATAGTCGAGGCTGGCGCAGCCTCCACATCGCTCTTACGCTGTGAAAGCTACTTGCGCGAGCGCGTCGCTTTGTTTGGCGTCTCCTTCGCACGAGAGCGAATGAGACGCAAAACAAAACCACGTGCGCTCGAAGCAGTGCAGCACTTTAGCAGTGTTGAGCTTCAGCACTGTGGAAGCGACGCTACCTTGACAACGTAACGAAAAATAGCTAATGTCCATTTTTTTTAAATATTTTTTATATAGGTAGCTATTTTTTATGAACCCGGTCATGCGATTAGAAAATCCCTCTTCGGCAATTTGAGCAACCGAGAGAGGTACCGGCATTTCTCTAGCTAACCACCCTGAAACAAGGAAGCGGACCCTTTTTCTGTTTAGTCATGCAAACAGTTAACTGCATCAACGCTCCAAGGTCTCGTCCGAATTTTTGGCTCAGTTTCTAAGCTGCGTGATTCACAACTGTTTGGGTTGCAGAGCCCAAACAGTCGCTTGGGTTCTGAAAATTTGGTGAGGTGTGCCCTTGAAGCAAGACGAGGTCGCATTAGAAGTGGAGCTATAGGAACGAACGCGAACGAACACCCTTTTATCTTTCCTATCCCCTTTGACACGATGAATTTTCGTTACACGTTTCAACGGTTGAAGCGCTTTACCGTGTTGCTGTTGTGCCAGTTAGACCATCGTGACATTCACGATACATTAAAGGGGCGATGCAGCGATTTTTGTATTTTGCGCAAATACCGCTTAGAACGGATCCCTGACGTTAATGACCTGTGAAATACCCGTTCGTTTTTCACCACACGCAATCGAAGTCGCAGAAAAATTTAAGAAAAACGAGCAAAGTTCACCCTCTCAACTCGCAGCCAGGACAAGCGGCCACGTGATCTGGAGCCGATTATATACCGCCAATGTGGATCATAGCCATGCGCTGGGGTTGGCAAGGCACAGGACACGCGCTGCATTCCTGACATTGTTATGGTTCGGCTGTTGTCGTCATTGCAGCGATTGGACACAGGACACTACCCGAATGTTTCTCGAGCTATAGATTATCACGAGCCCAAATCGAGTGCCCACGCAATGCTCGGGTCCAATCTATGAGCTGTATTCAAATATCGTCACTAGGCGGTGCTGCTACAGCCTACCGCCCAGCTACGTCATCATGTTTTGCGAAGGAGAGATTGAATGAAAACGCTCAGTTTTGTCCTCGAAATTACAGAGCAACAGAGGAGCTTCTTGGGCAGTGGCGTTGCGTGTGAGTATCCTTGAATCCCACTAGTGCCAGTAAGCTCGTGTAAAGTGAAAATAAAACATTCAAATTAAATATCGTTGCACCGCCCCTTTAATGCAGTCACTCTTCGCTCGGTTAGTGCATTTATGAGGTAAGGACGGAAATTTCGGTCGACAGGCATTCTTACGTACCCGTTGCGGAGAAAGCTACGACCACAATTGTAGCGGCTAGGCTTTGAGACTTGACCACGAAGGACGTCAAGTAGGCGGTTGGCAAGGCCACAAGAGGGAACGAAAGCACCAGAGCCACGACGGCACCTGCATGGGGTGAAGAGCGCAGGGAGGAGGACATCCTGAAACGCGTGTTTCGCAACGACATTCGCTTCACAGGAGCAGGAGCTGCTCAAGGGACCGCATGCAGAGGGAGTGTCGGCCAAAGACTGGTTCACACGCTTGCGACTGCTTACGACCGGAGAGGGTCACGAGAGGCTTAAAAAGCGTTCTTTTGTAAGCAGTCATAACCACTGGAGCGACAAAGGGGAAACGGTCATAGCTGATATGACGTCATCGCGTAATACTGATGACCATTCGCACTTGTTTTGCGAAGGTGCAAGAAAGCAACAAAAACAAATTAGGGGCACGAATGTATGCTGCAGAAGGTACGCGCTCAGCAGCAAGGCCACCACAATGGCAGATTATGTGACGTCAGTGCAAGCCATGAATAGATTTTGTTTTTGCTTGAGAATCGCCAACAGCCCCCACACAAGCAAGTTTTGTGAAGATTTGGGAGAGGCTGATTTAGTTTTGTTGACAAACATAAAACCGGTGTTCGTAGCGACAAAGACGTATAGCATGACGTTTTCTGCGAACAGTGTCGATTGTGTCTTCACATGGTGGGACGTCGACGCAACTTGAATATGAAAACTGTCAAAGCTGCTAAAACTAAAAAAAAAAAAAAAAAAATCTCCTAGAGCGCTTACACTTTGACAAGAGAGGTTTCCCAGGAAGCTGCAGAACTCTCGAGAGAAACGTCGCTTTCTACTTAGGGCTACAAGTAGACTTCATTACAAGGATGGGATGCGGCGTTTATTTGAGAATTTAGCTAGACTCTCGCTGCCAAAGTAGACACTAAAGATGAACAGACGTATCTAAGGACACGCCGCTGCGGCGGCGCTGGTGTCGGCATGGCGCATGCGCAGAAGCTTCACCGCACGAAAATCTGCTTTCTGCGCATGTGCAGTGCCTACACCGGTAGTGTAGGCAAACGCGGGCTTGTTTGTAAGCAGCGCGTTACCCTGTAGTCATTGGCTGCAAAACTTCGGATGGACTGCAATGCAATAAAAAAAAATAATACACGAGTTTGATCATGCAGAAAAAGACTGTAAGCACCGAATGTGCGATAGGCCTTCCAGGGAAAATGGGAGGGGCGAGCGAACGGTGCCGTCTACCGAAGACTGACTTTCATTTTTCACACACGCCGTGAGAGTCAAGCGAGACGAATTGTATGATTTTTAGGTAAATAAAATAGTCATGTGCGAATATTGGATTTTGAGTTCGAAGCGAATTCGAAGGGAATAGCGGTTTTGGCCGAATACTTTTTATTCGAATATCGAATAGTTTTTCTACGCCTTTCACTACCACTGAGGTAGCAATTTGGGCCAGTTGGTTCATGATCGCCTAAAAAAGCGCCATAAAAACACAAGGACGAGGAAGTAGAAAGAGCGCTCTTGTCTGTCTACCTCCTCGACCTTGTGTTTCTTTGGCGCTTTTTTTAGGTGCTTTCACTACCATTGCATAATGCTTATACGAAAAACCAGGAAAACCTGTGAAGGTTGTCCCACTTGTTCATATATAAGCTAAGTTTAATCTATCTATATTTATGAACAATGACCTTAGAAAGTCTGGTGTCTTGAGGTGGCAAGTAAACGACGGATCTGACATAAAACGAATACTATAAAGATGGCCAACTGTACCCCATTAAGTGAATTTACAAATATCGCTCTCATAAATATTGTTTCTTTAATCTCGAGTTAAAAAAAATGAATCGCGCATCATGAACTCAGGTTGTAAGGGCATCCCTGCCTAACATAGTTTACTCTTGCATAAGTTTAATTTTGAAACTTTTACTACATCGTAGATATACAGATACACAAAGTTTCCATTTATTTTCAAATACAGGCGGCACGGGTGCACCATCCCGCTTTGAATGTACGCTTTTCTGCCAAGTACGCAATTCGATAATCACTTTTTCAAATGTTTATCGCGGCGGGCTACCCTGTTGAGTGCGCTTCTTACCGAGCACCGATGTAATGCAGAGAAGAAACACCCGCGGAGCTCGCTTTCGCGGGTATGGCTTCTCCGCAGCGCACCAGTGCTTGATAAGAAGCGCACTCAAAGGGGCTAACCCGCCGCAATCAACACTTCGAAAAACGCGAATAGTGCAGTTCTTCTCGAAGCGAATATCGAATAATGTGTTATTCGGAACTGCTATTCGAAATTTCTAATATTCGCACAACACTAAAATAAAATGTTTTAACAGCGAAGCACGTGACCGCACCCTCGCGCCAAGGACCTCGCTGTTGAGCGGTCAAAAACCTCTCCTCGGATGGCTTAGTCGGAAAAGCACTGCGCTCCCAATCGCGAGGTTGTGAGTTCAAATCCTGCCGGGAACTGATCTTCTTATATGGCTCTCTATAGTCATAACGCTTCTCGGTGTCGGTTTTTCGTTAGGGCCGGCTGTTACACCCGGCAGCTACAACCGAGCGTTAAGGCTCGTTCACACACTTGCAACCGAGTTGGACCGACTGAGACAAGACCGGTTTGCAAGCCTCTCGCGACGGCGTAGGACCTGCTCCGCAGCAGCGCATCTGGTCTTACGCCGTCGCAAGAGGCTTACAAACTGATCTTGTCTTACTCAGTCGTACTCGGCTGATAGTGTGTAAACAGGCCTTTACTGTAAAACGTTACAGAGCTCCACAGAAATCAGCTGATAAAGCACATTTTGTGCTAAAGAAGAAAGGAAGGAAATTATTTTGTCTGGGCCTTCGGCGCTAAAGACCCACCTATCGAATCGGCGCGAATCGAGTGCTGCTGGAAAAAGATGACGCTTGCCAGCACCCAGCACGTCGTGTAGATGACCACGTCGAACAGGAAGTGCGAAATCCAGTAAAGGAAACCCGAGATGCCTGTCACCAGCTGGACGTCCTTGGACCGAGACGCCCGTTCCACGACGGGCTGAAGCGCGAACACGGACACGAGGAGGCCGACAACGAGGTACAGCAGTATGGACATAATCTTCAATATGACGATGTTTCCAAGTTCCTTCAGTTGACGAATTGTACCTTGCTGGGAAGAAGGAGGAAGCTTTAGGCAGCGGTCACACTGTTGCGACATCATACAAACGCAGTGTTGGCGGTAACGCGTTCCAAGTAACGGTATTACCGGTAACGCGTTAGTTCTTTCGGTAACGTAATAACGTGCTCTCGTTACTTTTCAAAAGAGTAACGTATAACCAGGGTTCCGTGTTTTCGGATAAATCCGACAAAAAAATCAAAGAAAACGTTGTCCGCGGTAACTTTTTCGTCAAGTTGGATTTATCTGAAAAACTCTGAATTTCGAAGTTAAAACCAGAAATCGAAAAGCAGCAAAAAGGCGATTTTATTTTAGAATCATTTTCATAAGAGCACAGGGCCAGTGGTCTGAATCCAGGCACGTAGCCAGGATTCTGTTTCGGGGGGGGGGGGGGGGGGGGGGGGGCGCCCATGACAAAATGCTGTATGTGGGGGAGGGGGCAGAGGAGGCCCCAGCAAAATAGGGAATTTCGAAGGGAAAGAAACATGCCCCCTTCCCCCCCCCCCCCTCCCCCCCTCCCCTCCTCCTCCGCTGTCCAGCTTTAGGGATAAATGGAATATAGTACAGTGCACTCTTAGAAAAAAAAAAGTATAGTCTTGCCCCTTGTCCCATATTATACACCCAAAATATTCGGCACACTGACGTTGGACAGACGGCCCCAACTTTTACGAGGGTCTTGATGACAGTGCGATAGAACCGAATGAACAAACAGCTAAAGTATATATCAAAGACTGGAGGAAAAAAAAGAACACTGAGGTTCTGCAGTAAAACTTTCTAGTATGTAACACACACATGAGCTATTTTAACAAGTTATACCACTCGGCTATCAAGCTGCTCGTGAAAATTGGTACAGTCGGTTCGACGCTGTACGTCGATCTGAAGTTTTGGGGTGTGTTTTTATGGTACAAGGTGTGTATAGACTATGCATTTTTTTTTTCTTCTGAGAGTGTGCGAAAACGTTTGGAGGACAAAATACAAACCAGACTACGCACTCATGTTACTGACGCCATGTCGAGAGGTGGCGTTGGCTGTACAGCGGCACATGCGCAGAAGCCTCTAACTTTGTAAACGCGACTTCTGCAAAGGCTCATTGAACTAAAAGGGCTGAAGAGGCGACCTCCTCTCCCACGTTTACTTTATTAAAGTGGTGGGAAGAGCTTCCCCTGAACTCTTAACATGTCACCGACTACAAACAATACATTCGTCCACAGACGATAATAAAAAAAAAAAATAATAATAATAACAATAATAATAATGTATTTTGATGTAGAACCTTAATTTTCTGCGAGGCATGCAGTATATCTTGCTGTGTAGTCAGCGACAAGTACAAGACGGCAGGTCGGAGCACCTCTCGTGCGAGCTTTCTTTTTCCGACGACGCTTTGCGCGTCTTGTGCACCTCAAGCGCGTGCGCACAGCCAAAGCACGGCGGAAGGCATGGAAGGCATGCTGGAAGCCCTCATTCGAAAGAAACGCCCTGCCGTTCTTCTAAATCAGTGACTATGTAGTCTCCTGCAAAAAATTGCTTGCGCGAAATAGTCACTTTTAGGGGAGAGAGTAAGAGAGAAAGAAAGAGAGAGAAAGAGAAAGAAAATGAGGGGGAAAATTTGCGAGGGGAGAAGACCGGCAAAGGGTGGAAAGTGTGAAGCGAGCGTCCGGGAGAGGAGGCCAGTAGGAGGATTGTCTTGCTGGCGCGTCGCGTGAAAAGACGGCCGCCGTAAATGGGAAAGGAGGGGCGGAGAAACGGGAGCGGAGAGAACCTTGCCCGCTAGCGCCACAAAAGAGAGAGCGGCCAAACGCAGAAACAATCTTTTTTTTTCTCTCTCTTTTCTTGTCGCTATCGTGGAGAGGAGAAACTCAGCGTCCACCCTTTCCCGTTTCTCCCTGCGCCCTTTCGAATCGCCGCGCCCGTTTCTCCCGGAGTACGACGGTGACGAAAACACAAAAACAAGCGTGGTTCGGGGAGCGGCCGCTCATGACCCAAGCGCTCGCTGTCTAGGTCTGCCCTTCCTGCTCTGCGCTACCATATTGGTCACCGTTCGGCGCGCTCCTCCTCTCCTTTTTCCTGCGGCCGCGCGCTCTATGGCTCCGTCGTCGATGTGCCAGGCTTTCTCCGTATAGAGGAGGCTATGGCTGAAGTAAGCTCACCAAGACGCCTGCAGAGACCAAGGTGACGTTGAGGCGAGCGGTCGTGTCTCCAGTCACGTTGCGCAAGACGGCCGTCGTGAGGAGATTCAGGGCGACGAGGGGGCTGGCGTCAGCGTGGCTGCTGTACCAGCCCTCGGCCCGTACTTTTCCCGTCTCGTTCCTGAACCATGCAGTAAACAAGGGAACCAAACAGAATGGGTAAAGGCAAGGACTGCGCATGACCTCTTTCATCATTTGCGGATGCCCCAAACGGCAAACAGGACGAAGCTTGACGAGAGTAGCCGCAACTCCTGTCTGCTCTAAAAACTCGTGTTTGTCAATTTATTGACGTCGTTTTAGATTTCAGTCTTTCTCGGATAGTTTTCCTTCCTACGCGAGTCTCTCCTTCCTGTTCAAACATTTTAGATCTTGTTCTTACTTCTCACCTTGAAATATTTCCAACGCCTTTGGTATTCTTGGACGGCATCAGTGACCACAAATCAATTTATTCTTACATAAAAGTCGAAACTAGAAAAAACTGTTCGTTCAGGAAAGAAAATATTGTTATACGACAAAAGCCAATTACGAAGAAATGAACCGAGCCAGTGTGACTATTTCTCTTTTTTCTTAATTAATTTTGACTCACGAGATGTTAACGAGAATTGAAATTTATTTAAAAACAAGTTAGATTAACTTGTTAACATTCGCATCCCATTCAAATACCTCAGGCCTTCCTGTACGAAACTATGGTTCAATCGACAGCTTAGGTCTCTCTGTAACAAAAATCAAAGGCTTTTCCGTGCTGCTAAACGTGATGACACCCCTGAGTCATGGTCTAAATATAAAAATGGTGACCCTAACTACAACATGAAACTACGAGAGTGCAAAAGCGTGTACTCTCAGCAGACGCTCCCTTCTATATTACTTAACAACCCTCGTCGTTTCTGAAGTATTGTTAACTCAAAAGACCACGCTTTGCCAAAGATTTTTAGCGACTCGGGTGATGTGCCAGATGATCAGTGCGCAGCTATGTTTAATGATGTTTTTTTGGAATGTGTTTACACCTATTTCTACCAACTGTTTTCCTGGTCACGTTCCTGCTTATTATTTTCCAATGGACCTTGTTTTGGTAGACTTTAATTGTGTATCTCGAATTATTAACTTATTAAAGGTCTCGTCGTCCTCTGGCGTTGACAATATAAACACTAAAATATTACGTAACACTAGCCTCTCTTGTAGTTTATTTCTGACCAAAATGTTTCAGCAGTCTTTGGAGTCGGGGGTGGTGCCTGAGGACTGGAAAATCGGCAAGGTTATTCCTGTCCACAAAAGCGGCAGTAAGTCCTCTCCCCTCAACTACAGTCCTATATCTCTTACTTGCATCCAATCTAAAATCATGGAGCATATCATTTTCATTCATCTGTTTGATTTCTTCGAATGCAACTCTTTTTTTTAGCAACGCGCAGCACGGTTTACCGCCGCAACTTCTCGTGAAACGCAGCTCCTATTTCTTACTAATGACCTTCACCTAAACCTTGACTCCGGCTACCCCACTAGTGCTGTATTTCTGGATTTTGCCAAAGCCTTTGACAAAGTGCCACATAACCTCCTTCTGCCGAAACTTTCTATGCTAAAGATTGACCCTAATATACTAAAATGGATCGAATCATTCCTTCTTTAACGTCGTCAGTTTGTTTATCCTAATTACACCAAATCCTCCCTGTGCTCTGTTTCTTCTGGTGTCCCCCAGGGGACAGTACTCAGCCCATTACTTTCCCTAATTTATATTAATGACCTTCTTTTTAACATCTCTATCACTGTGTGGCTTTTTGCCGATGACTGTGTAGTCTACCGTAAAATAACTTCTACTGATGATATTGTAACGCTTCAGGACGACACTTTTAAAATTTCTGAATGGTGTAACACATGGTGCATGTCCTAAAATCCTAACAAATGTCAATGCATGTGCTTTTTTCGTTCATTGCCAATTACCTATCCTGTACTTCGTTTGAATTCTGTCCCCATTGATTATACTAACCAATACAAGTACTTATGCTTGCATCTCACACCTAATCTATCATGGCATACTCAAGTTAAAACAGTTATATCCCCAGCAAACCGCTCTCTAGGCTGCATTCGCCGAAACTTTAGATCCTCACCTGAAAACCTAAACCTTATTTTACACACCACTATCGTTCGGCCTAATTTAGAATATGCGTCATCCATCTGGCATCCTCATCAGAAAAATTTGACAGACTACATTGAATCCGTTCAGAACCGTGCTGCTCACTTGATTTTTAATGACTATTCTCGTACCTCAAGTGTATCATCAATGAAGTCTCGTCTTAAGCTTTCTCTACTTTCCTCCCACCGTCTTTCTCTTCTTCATAAAGTATTTTACACACCTTGAAAATGTCTCTTCTGAACCCGCCCACCCACACATCATCAAGACTGGACCATTCATGCAAGATCACCCGTCCCAAGTCATCAAGTCAAGCACACCAGCATACTCTCATCCCTGAAGCAGTTGTGGACTGGAATGACCTCCCGGACGCCATAGTTACCATACCCGACTCCAAGCAATTCTGACTAGCCCTTCAAAACCACTTGTACTGACCCACTCCCCTCTATAACGCCCCCGAAGCATT